CCCGATGAGTAAGAAGGGATGACCGTGGCAGTGATGAACACTGAGGACGACGATGGTCACGCTTGGCGATGCCGAATTCGTGTTTTGAATGCAGGATGATATATCCGTACTAGTCTAGAATAGTGCGGAAGCGCAGAGACACGAGTGAGCGAACTATCAGCGTGAGGAGGAATTCAGATACGCACGGGATGAGGAGACAACAAAAATCAGGCTAAAAAACTATATTCGGAAAATCTCCAGTAAACTCGCAGACAGTAATGGCCTCTGAATATATTCAAGGCGTTACTTGAAGAGTCGGAGGATGTGTTGAGGGAAAATGTGAAAGAAAAAGAAACAACATGAACACAGAAAAATGGGAAAGTGAAGATGCGGCGGGAGGGGAAGAAAGGAAAACAAACGAAAATGGCTGACATGGGGATCTGCCTTTTATAGCGTGACGAAAGCATTGCGGAATTGAATTGAGGCATATCTGCGGATCGATTATGTAAGATTTCTGGCGCAATAATGCGATTGGTTAGCGAAATTGTTTTTTATCCGATAACGACCCGCGGTAACCCTACGGCACATGCTGGACTTGAATTCACGTATCCTCGTCTTCGGAGGCGGTGGGACCATTGGATCTTCTACTGCTTTGCACCTGGCTCGAAAAGGATATCGAAATATACGCGTCCTCGATGTTTACCCCATTCCCAGTGCTCAAAGTGCCGGAAATGATTTGAACAAGATAATGGGTACCAGTTTGCGAAATCCTGTGGACAGGCAACTTAGTCTGGAAGCGGAGGATGCATGGCATGTATATCGCGGTCCTTTAAGCAAAAAAAGGAGATGATAACAGTCTCTGCAGGTCCAATGACCCGACTTTCACTGCATATTATCATCGGTCTGGACGGGTAAGTAATCATAAATGATCCGTTGTGGGTTCAATTGGGACCTCAGGCCTAATCGGCGAGATAGTTAGACTGCTGTGGCTCTCCTGATGGTATCGAAGACCTTGAGAACACAATTGCAAAGCTGAAAGATGCGGGACTTGGTCATACCGTGGAATGGCTAGACACGGAGGCCCAAATCATCCGGCGTGTGCCCCAGTTAGCAGGTTCGAACATCCAAGTGCGCTGTTGGTCTCTTCTCGTGTATCGTACTCTAGGCTTACTGCTCTACGGCGAACTGAAGGGCTGGAAAGGTATATTTTTTGAGCAAGGAGGATGGTTGGCCGCAGCAAAAGCCATTGATTTAGTGGGCAGGGAGCTCGTAAGACACGGTGTCCAATTCTCTTTTGGAGAGTAAGTACAGTGTATATTTCCCATGATATATTCATGCCTAATGTCGTGCTATCACAGCTCGGGAACATTTCAAAGCCTTATCCTGTCGAACGACGGGAAGACTTGCCTAGGTGCCACAACAAAGGATGGCACCCGATACATAGCTGACAGAGTCGTTTTGGCCTCTGGCGCATGGACTCCGTCTCTCGTCGACCTCGAAGATCAATGTTGTTCCAAGGCCTGGGTATATGCGCACATGCAACTCACGTCCGAAGAAATCAAAGAATATGCTGGCTGTCCGGTAGTATACAATGAAGATCTTGGATTCTTCTTCGAGCCTGACGAGTAAGCTTTCCGTTCGTCACATCTGCTGCATTTCCTCAAGCTCGTGCCCACCCAGACACGGAATCATCAAGGTATGCGACGAGTTTCCCGGCTTCACTCGATACAAGATGCACCAGCCGTTTGGCACCCCAGAGCCAAAATTAGTATCAGTCCCGAGGTCCCATGCTCGTCATCCGACAGATACATACCCCGACGCATCTGAAACCACCATAAAGAAAGCCATCGCTGCCTTTTTACCCAAATTCAAGGATAAAGAGCTTTTCAATCGAGCGATGTGCTGGTGTGCTGATACGGCAGACGCGAATTTGCTGATATGTGAGCATCCGAGATGGAAAGTATGTATCTTTCTATCTCAGGATTTCCAAGACGCCTGAGACATCCGCACACTTTCAGAATCTCTTCGTGGCTACTGGTGATAGCGGGTAGGTACTCTTCTACTCTTGTAGCCTGTTCCTTGATCTAACGAACAGCTTGCAAGGCATTCATTCAAGCTTCTCCCAATCGTAAATAGCTATACATTTTTGTCAAAGGATTTCAGGATATTGATAACTGCTAGATTGGTAAACATGTTGTGGAACTATTGGAAGGAACGCTACAAGAGGACTTGCGCGAATCGTGGCGATGGCATCACTAAATCACGGAGACTCTTAAGAAGGATTGTAATATGGAATTTCCAGTATAATGTGGAAAATCAGGTATCATGTTGCTACGACATTGTGGCGACATTGTCAGCCCTTATAAGCCCTTAAAATGCCTGCCCCAATCCCACAATCATTTCTGTACATTCTCAACATTGGATAATCATTTGATCTCTGTGATAATACTCGGAAATCATTTTTGGATATTATATGAATAAGGCCATATAGAGCCGTCGCAGGTATTCCCTTGCCAATTTGCATGAATATTATGGCATCAATAGCCTGCTAATAGGGTACTGTATACAGTGCTTTGCGAAATTCTTTGCTTGCTCGACTTTTTCACATCTATTTGTGTTTATTTATTTGTCCAATATATTTTTACCCCAAAAAGGATTCATCAATCACTTTTTGAAGCCCGACAGCCCTGGTGGTCCTCAAAAAGAGCCCTCTCGAGCCTCGGCCCAAAAATGTATTGGACAAATAACTAGAAATAAACAGCAATAAACACTTGGTAAAAAATCCATACAAGCAAACCATTTCGCAAAGCACTGTAATAAAATTCATAATTGTCGTAATCATTTATTCCAAGCAAACCAGTTCGAAAATAATGAATTTAAATATCTCGATTCAATTTGCGGTATATAAATAATACAAGAACGACAGCCGTGATAATAATCTATCAATCTATAATATACAGGGATACAGCATTTGATCTAATATGTGGCACAAACTAGGAAAAAGCCCGGCGGGGTTGCTTTGAGATACATTCAGGACATGTTCACGTTCCACTCATAGGACAAGGTTATTGGCTCTTCATGAACACTGGCAGAGGAAGTTGAGATATTGACAATATTGCAGCCTTGAGAAGAACCAGCAGTCAACACAGTAATTTGAGCATTTTTAATTTGAAGCACGGTCTTTGACATGGTCGACGTCAAGCATGCGTAACCGGGGAAGGGAAAGGAGGGCATTTCTGGTTGACGGTTTTGAAGTACGACTTTTTATAATAGAAGAGGTTGACACGCTTGCCGAATTTGAGACTCCGAGTGGCAAGGGCCGCAGTTTGAGATGGTACCGTGAATGCCCGGAAGGAATACAAGTACTGCCGGGCTTGAATTCAGCGGAATAGAACGACTTACCCGAAGCACTTCCGAAACATCCCGAAACCAGTCTATGATTCTGTGCCACTACATCAGCCAGCATCAGCCTCATTGTTGATATTACCTATCTAGCCAGCACCAAATTGATCAACTTCATATCCAGACTCCAGGGAATTAGTTGCAAGGTACTGGGCGAGGTCAACATTTGTAATGTGCACGAGTACCAGCCCAAATTGTGGCTAAAGGACATAACATGCATATGATAAACGAGCCAAAATACTGCTTCACCTTTTTCATTACTTACAATGTAGCAGAAATAATGGGTGACATTAGTCAAGGCTTAGAGCAAAGAACCCATAACCAAACCATGTCAGCATTGAATATAACAAGGACTCACCATCCCATGATGCTCACAATGCTTCACAATGTCTGACAATCATTGTACCTGTCTGAAAATTTGTTAGAATGTGTCCGAAAGGTTCCTGCTAGAATGTATTGCATTGTTATATTACAAAACGGTTGTAACTTCTACAATCACGCTCAAGAACTTCCGGTTTTTTGTGATGGGCGTCCGGGTTCTGGGGATGCACGAAAGTCCAGGCGAGCAGCACCCGCTGAGGATTTGGCTGACCTTCCAGGATGGAAGCATGACCCAGCAGCTGATACGAAGACGTAGGCCAAATCGACTGTATAGTAGAGCACGCGGGGGAAATTAGTGGCCGAGAGCGATAAAGTACCAGCTACAACATATCACTTTGTCTTCAATATCACTTTATCCCTTCTAGTCTGGGTAGACTGAAAATCTGAGAAATAAGTTTAAATATCTGTTGCTCCAATGAGCCCCAGAAGTGACTCCAAAGATGAATAGACTCTCCAACCTCTGGTACCGTCTACACGATTATCGATTCTCGTTCCTAATATGACTGCCCCAGTTTCGCCTTCGATGATTAGACCCGCTAGACCCTGCTTCGTAGGTAAGAAAGGTGGCGTCGTGTGTCTCCAGTCAATGGTTTCGAAGAGTAGACGAAGTATTTACTTTAGTTTATCTTAAGTCGGAGTAACCAATTACCGTCCCTCTCACCTATTTATTCTATGAACTGCAGACCCATTGGGGCTCTGACCAGGTTCTTCTCGAAGTTCATGGGGCACAAATGCCTTACTATTGGGGTTTCTGCATAGACAGGATAGGCGAACGACCTCGAACGACGAATCATCTAGACACTGTGTGAGATAAGGATGTTAAGCTGCCTCCACAAGTGTAGGCGCATTTTGACGGCACTTCCAACGCAAACCCTGATTTGCACAGAGCGTGCTAATAGAAGCACATTTAAATCCGCAGAGGATAGTTCCCGGTCAACTTTTCAACAAAGCAGACAGCCGAAATTCATACAGAAGAGACACATCGAGAGAGAACGAATTCTTCGAAAATGAAGCGACGTTCAGTGTCTGATGTTGATGAACTAGGGTCAGGATTGTCCACAGCCACTCCTGCAGATGACGGAGGTCCACCCAAGTTCACCAAGGATTGTGTGACAGCAACATATTGTTTTGAGATTGGATTTGGCAGGAGCAAGTCAAATCGCTAAATTTCGGAGGATCGTCCTGCCGCCGCGCCATGATGTTGATCTGATCAAGCCAAATTTAAACACAGTTACAATGCCCGCCTAGCTCAATCGGATAGAGCGTCAGACTCTTACATAGAGGCAGGGCAATCTGAAGGCTGCGAGTTCGACCCTCGCGGTGGGCTATATATACCGTTCAAACAATGTGTTTTCAGTGTCTCCTGTGTCTTTTTGTAACCTCTTTCGGCAAATTTGCGATAGATCAATTCTCCTCAAACTATTTAAATTTTACATCTCATACGATATTTCTGCATCATCACTTACGACAAAACTGCCGAACTCGTACAGGTCGGTTTCATCTTCCCTTGTAGGTGAGCTCGAAACCCCTGGCCTCCTTCGATTACTGTTTTGGGTCCTGATTGAGTTACGCCCGAACCGACCTCTTCTTACCGGCTTGCTAGCGAACGACGGGCCTCCATCAGGGGCCTGTGTCAGGAGAGACTGTCGGTAAGCCAGGCTCTGGTCGTACGAGGGCGAGGCTTGTGTCTCTGGAAGCTCTTCCAAAAACATCCGATCCGACTCGCTCTCGACGTCTTCGCTACCGGAGGAACCCTCGCTCTCTTCGTCACCAGAATGTGTGGCTTCGTAATCGTAGAGAGGGTTGTGCTTCATAGGAACACGTGGTCGTTTCCGGCGTTTATGCCTGTCTTGGGAGCGCTTGATACCTGGTATGGTCGGAGGTGGCATTTCTGAACCAGATGATTCATGTCGACGATGCAGACGTCGATGGGTTTGGGCTGGGCTTTCGATTGAGGGGGAGGAGTCCGTAAATGCCAGCGTCGTTATGCGTTTCTTACCCATAGGTCTTATAGCGAAAGAGGGTTCGGGAGCTTGGGGTGAAGCATGAATATAAATGGAAGATGAATCAACGGGGCTGTTAGGAAGGTCAGGGGGGAGCATATCGTCTCGACGAATTTTTGATTGAGCAGGTGGTGCCTTCGTCGCTGTAGTAGAATGTTTGATGGCTTCTTGTCGAGTAGAGAACCATCCCCCATTTCGTATTTGTGAAGGCGGAGGCGGAGATGACCCATATTCCACGAACTCTATCGAATCGTCTACCGGTGTTGCGCTCAACGATGAGACACGGGTGTAAGCTGAGCGCGTAGGTGAAGAGGCATCGTCCATAAATTCCAATGAATCGTCAACCGACATTCTACACTGAGATGGACTACGCCCAGGCGATGAATCAGAGTCATTGAGATCTAAGACAGAGTTATCCGGTTCCAAAGGTTGCTGCGTTCGCTCGACGACCGGAGATGAATTTACAATGTCAAAGTCCAGCTGCACATCTTCATCTTCGTCTTCAAGCAGCCAAGCCATATTCTGGACATTGTGCGACGGAGATACTCTTGGAGGAGACTGGCTCCAGGATCCTGTTGGTGATTGGAAAGCTTGTTCAAAATCTTTCAGAGGAAAGTCAGTTGAACCGTAACGCTGAGGATATTGAAACAACGGCTTACCGGAGGCCTCACGATCTGAATCGGTCAAGTCGATGACTTTAGCCTCTTCATTGACAACAGCCTGTCCGGAGGAGCTTCGACGAGGAGATAAGGTATTCGTTTTCGTCGAAAGGACACCGTTCTCGATTTCCAAGTCGTCGGAATCATCAATTCCTTTGGCTTGTAATTGACTCGCTGTCCATTCTGAAGGAGGGGGAGCCTCTTCTTTCTCCTTCTCCTTTTCCTTCCCTTTCTTTGTCTTCTTTGTCTTCTTCGGCTTACTTGGATCAAGCGTTTTGGATTTACGCAACATACTAGTACCAGCTTTGGGTTTGGGTGCAGAAGCGGATTTCGACTTTTTGAGAGCCGGAGGTTCACCAAAAATACCGGAGGCCAGCTCTAAATCGTCCTCGTCGTCTTCTCCCAAGGCTTCGAAATTCTTTGGTTCGCGAATCTTTCTAGCCTTCTTCCCTCCCTTCTCCTTGACCAACAGATCCGCAACGCTGACGAAACCTGTGCTAGCTCCCTGTGGCATGTTCCTCCCTATGTCATCATTCCTCTTGCGCTTTACACCCTTCCTTGGTGAATTGTCGCGTTTCTTGAGTGCTTCATCGCGCACGTACGGAATTATCTCCATCTCTTTCTCCAGACATTGAGGCTGAACATTATCTGGTAGTAGTCGTTCAACGTCTGCATAGAATTCCAGATGCGATCCATATATGATCGAGGCTTGGACATCTTCGTAGCTAGATTGGGCTTTATCAAAGTTGGCCTCTTCGCGGCCATCTGCGAGAAGTACGTGGACATGACCAGACCGTTTTCGCCCTGTGCGTCCTAATCTTTGCAGCTAATTACAATCGTGTCAGTGATTGCTCTTCCCAAGGATGAATATTCCACATACCAAACGAATCGGTGTTTTTTGCGTATCGTAGCAGATCGCGAGATCGACTTCGCCGATATCAAGACCCTCTTCGCCGATGGAGGTCGCAACGAGAATGTTGAACTCATTATTCTTGAATTTCTTTATGATCTGAAAGAAATGCATCAATTTCTGCCTCGAGTAGACAGGCATCATTGTCGCACCTCCAACTGCTCGCGCTGTGCCAGCCCTTTCTTTCCTTTCTTGTCTGTCCCTTGACCGATAAACGGCGTAGCCCGAATGAGGGGCTGCTCCGCATTCAAGACTTCCACGATCTCATCTACTGCAGCTCGATGTGTAACGAAAACCATGGCCTTCGTTGCCCCTTCTCCGCTTTCTGGATCACCATCCTCACTCATCCGCGCACCAAAATGCTGCATGATCAGATTTTTCATCTTCTCCATCTTGGGATGCATTTTGAATCCTTGCGCATTTTGAGCACGTATTTCATTCATAAGGTTGAGGAACAGCGGGTTGGTGTGCACCTTTTTGGCTTTTGTAGCTTTAGCTTTTTCCGAAGGTTTCATACCATCTGTACTGTCAGGGCCACGAGCGTAGGCTTCAAGATCGTCGTAGCACATCTTGACTGTACCTTCCATCTGAGTTTTGGAGAAAAGGTGAATGATCGAGTTTGACAGTAGGACAACTGTCTTACAAGGTAACCAAGCCATCGAGCAAATGAGCTCAAGGTATATAGGGGGCCGCAAAGATGACGTTGTCCTTGGGCTAAACTTGCGGCAAGAGATGTCGCTGCGAATGGATGCATCCGCATCAAATTGGGAGATCCCCTCCAGATATGTGCAATGGGTTTGAAGAAAGACTAGGATAACTGTCAGTAAAAGACGACGTTCTCCTCTCTCAAATTACGCGGCTTACGTCCATGAGTTTAAGAAATAAATCCTTGATTCTGTTGATCTCCGGGGTCATTGATATAACATGCTGCTCAATTTCCTGCACACCGACATTGAAAGCTCAGCGGCTGGATTATGCTACGTCGTGTTAATGATACATACCTTGACGTGATTATAGCGAGCCAGTTCTCGCTCAGCTCGGATTTCTATATGACTGATGTGCAGTCCGTCAATGAGGGTTTGGACAGCTTCTTTGTTACCGCCAGGAGTAGCAGTCAGAGCCAACACTCGAAAGTGAGGGTTCTTTGCCATCATGTAACGAATGACTTGGTTGTAAGCATAATCGCCCGTGGCACGATGGGCCTCGTCTAAGATTCCATGGATAATCGTTCGATGTCATCAATTAGTGAGGACTTACCCACGACGAGAAGAACAATATCTCGAGCATCGCAGTTCTCTGATTGTAGATCATTAATCAGTGTCTGGGGTGTCATGTAAAATACGCGTTTCTGTCCCCACTGAACTCGAGAAGGTCAAATCGGAGAAGGGTGGACAAGAGAAACACGAAGCTCACGAATTTATGTCTTATTGGTTTGGAAACTTGCCCGGTCATCTCAATCGCATCACTTCCTGGTATACCACAAGCTTCGTGGCAAGCTTCTATCTGCTGTGACACAAGTGGTCTCGTTGGGGCAACGAAAACTACTTTTCCCTCCGGGAACCATCGATAATCTAGCTGCAAAGTGAGCGTATGTTGAGAGACGTATTGATGACTCACAGTTTAACATGACTACGCCAGCAATGAATGTCTTTCCTGTCCCAGTCGGAAGAGCTACAATTGTATTTTCGAAGAGACTCTTCCTAACGATATCAAACTGATAATCACGTTTCGGTCGGTTTAAAGGGAAAATCCAGTGTTTAGCCTCCAAAAGGTCGAGTTGGATTTTCCTGGGAGGAGGCTGGAAGAATTTGAGAGATGTACCCATTGCAGGACGAGTACCGTACCGTCACTTACTGGACTAGGCGCACATCGGCAAGTTCAGAGTTGAGCTTGCATTTGACAGAAGAGAGCTTTCACTCACCCAACTAGTTGTATAGAATAGGGTTAACTGTGGACGTGACAATAAACGTATGAACTCACGAGATACAAAAGGGGGTGGAAACTGTTCAAACTCGAACTCTTCCTCTTCTTCCTCTTCCTCATCTTCGTCCTGCTTCTTCTTCTTGCCCTTTCCCCTTGCGTTGCCAGTCTTAACTCCGGTCTTTGCAAAAGCGGTATGATCCCATTGTTTTGTCTTCCGAGGTTCTTGTTTGCTTCTGGTCCTTTGGGCATGAGGTTTGGATCTAGTGGTAGATGCTCCCGCTGGTATGACCTCTCCAAATAGAGTAGTCTGCAATGTGCCTTTGGACGATGATCTTGCGAGTGAAGGGGCAACTTTTCGTGGTAACTGTTGGAATGTCCCATCCTCTATAGCTTTGAGAGCATCAAGAGCGCTCTCGTCAAGGTCGATAGATTCACCGTAGTCAGAGCTATCTATGTTGATTGGGGAAGGAGCTCTCGCGCTGACAGGGCGTTGCTCAGTCGATTGCTGATATTGCGCCTCGATCGCATCAAGCTGCTGGAGAGTTTCGTCGTCAATATCATCGTCAAAGTAGCCATCAGAGCTCATCCCAATAATCTGAGGGGGTCGCTGTCTGGACGAGAAATGAGCACAGAATAAGACGTGATGGTGATATTCAAGCTGTCGAAAGTTGAAGCGCGACCTTGTTTCAATCACATGATATAGAGTGACTGATCAATCCTCGGAAATTGCCGTCATTACCGCTTAGCCAATTTTATTCACTTTCAGTGTTCGAACCAACCTTAGATTCTTTTAAGTACCCCCCAGCCAAATCCTCTATCTCGATGATATTTG